ACATCATCACTGGAGGAAAGATAGCCTCTTTAATAAATGGTTCTGGAAAAAATGGGTTTCAACTTGCCAAAGATTAAAACTAGACCTATGTCTATCATCACGCACTAAACTAAAATCAAAATGGATCAAAGATCTAAATATTAAAACAGAAATACAAAACCTGCTGAAAGAGAGGTTAGGTAGAACTCTTGAAGACATTGGAGTAGGCAAAGATTTTATGAACAAAACTTTAGTAACACAGGAACTAGCACAAAGAATCAACAAATGGGGTATCTTCTTATTAAAAAGCTTCTGCACAGCAAGAGAAACCACTGACAGTGTGAAGAGACAACCCAAAATGTGGGAAAAAATTTTTACCAGCTGATCCTCAGACAAAGGTCTACTATCTAGAATATGCAAAGAACTTTAAAAAATGACGAACCCCCCCCCAAATTTAATGACCCAATCCAAAAATGGGCATCTGAAATGAACAGACATTTTTCAGACAAAGAAGTAGAAATAGTAAATAAACATATGAAAAAGTGTTCAACATCACTGGTCATCCAAGAGATACAAATGAAAACAACCCTGAAATTTCACTTCACTCCAGAAAGAATGGCTGCTTTCAAGAAATTAACCAATAACAAACGCTGGCGGGGCTGTGGGGAAGAGGAACCCTACTCCACTGCTGGTGAGAGTGTAGACTAATGCAACCACTGTGGAAATCAGTACGGAATTCCTTAGAAAACTAGGATTAGAGATCGCATTTGACCCAGGTATTCCTCTGATAGATATCTTCCCAAAGGAATTAAAAGCATCATACCACAGTGATATACGCACACCCATGTTTATAGCAGCACAATTTCTAATAGCTAAATCTTGGAAACAGCCCAAAAGCCCATCACCTGGTGACTGAATTAAGATGTATTTTTTTTTTATAAAATGGAATACTACTCAGCCATAAAGAATGAGAAACTAGAGACATTTATAGCTAAATGGATGCACATTGAGGTCATACTCTTAAGTGAAATAAATAGGACACACATGTAAATACCGAATAGCTTCTCTGGTGTGAGAAACTGAAAGTGTAAATGGGGACCAAAATGTACAATAGATAATGTTAAATAGGAAGAAAAGGGGCAAAGGGGAAGGGGAAGCAAGTCGGGTAGGGAAAGAAGGAAAATGAAAAAATACGAAAAAAGAAGGAAAATGGAAACAAAGTCTTTGTAAATAGGGAGGGGTGGAGGGGTTGAGGGGAGAGCAGAGGAATGGGGAAAAAATAAGAACCAAGATTTGTCATGTTTAGGTACAAATTCCCAATGATGAATGTCATCCTAACATATACCTAAAATGTACCAATAAACTTAATGAATAAAAAAGAGAGCAGAGGAGAAAGGGAAAAAAGAATTGAGATGTTTCATGTACATGTTCCAATTTTCCACAATCATTATTTACTGCAAATATCTACCAATAAAAATTTTAAAAAGATAAAGTCTGGATTCTTTCCCTTCATTCAGGATGTCTCTACATGGCCACGCCAGCTAAGAGTGCTCTGTAGAATTGTAGTTCACCTCGGTCTGCCGAATCCTTTGTATATCTGTGTTACCCCTGGCTTCTTTCTGCTGGTGCTGCCTCCCACAGGCATCCCTACAGGTGTCACACCCCGATAAACTTTCTACATGTGCACCTTAGCCTCAGAGTGTTTCTCAAAACACTCTGTATACAGGTGTGCATTTAAAAAATATCTGTAGAAAGAACTCAATGTATATTTTGCCTCCTATATATCATATTTTTAAAAGACTCTTTATACCAAGTGACAGAAAAATAACTTCAAGTTTTCTGTTGTGAAGGAATCATTTCTTTCCAGTGGTATTTGAAGAAGGAAGTTGTACAGAGCCCCATGACTTAGTGAATACTACAATGATCTACACTTCTCAATGAATATTACCAAATGGATGCATTCTATTGCTAATGAAAAAGGCAAGCATGGTTCATGTCCACATGTTCCTATTGCCATATACACAGCCAGATGGGCAATGATTCTACTAGCTCCCAGACTCATTAAGGTCAAATAAGGTTACCATTTGGGAAGAAAATACAGTGGAAAATCATACTGCTACAGCAATATTAAAGATTCATTACATGACATTCTAGCCTCTGAATGTTCATGTAATACTCTAAATCCAAAGTATCACAGCAGTTCACCAAAGCCATGACACAACACAACAACAACAACAAAAGTTATACCATGCTTTACCAGTACATAATTCAATCCAAACTACTAGTATTATTTGTGTCAGCGGTGCTGAAGATTAAAGCCATGTTTTTGAAAAATTCAAATTTACATGTAATGTTCCTGTTTGTATAAATTAAGCTAAAATTTTTATTTGATTTGTATTTACACTTTATAGTCACAAATCCTTGTATCCTAAATATGCTTCTTATAAAGAAATACTTTGATATAACTATCCAAATGTAGAACTAAAATAGTCATGTATTTCACCATACTAAACTGGTCACCATCTTACTATGAATAGCTACTTAGAAAAAGCAATAATAATAGTAAGATGTCAGATACTATTCCTGGTTTCTTACATATTTGAACTTTTAATTTTTATCCCAATTTCATGTTCATGAAAAACGTGGCTTAGATTGCCTAGGTGACTTGCTAGAGCTACACAGTAACTGTTAAAAGTTGGATTTTGTACCAGACACTATGGCTTCAGGTTTCTTATTTTGGGGATCAATTTTGTACTCTATAATAAATTAAACCTTAAAGAAAGAAATTTCAGAGGAAATTTAGGATCCCAAAATATTGTATAGTAAGAGTTGAAACAAAAATATTCTGGCTGGTGAGATATCTTCTGGGTGAGGAAAGATTCTGTGAGAATGTGAGTTTTGATGATAATCTTAGGAGCATGAGTGAAGGGTGAGGTGTCATGAGGGGACCACACAGACATATGCTTTGTGCAAATTAAAAATGCACATCAATCTATGATACTTACGGAAATACAAGTGGTTTGGCTGGTATGGCTCGAATAAAGACCTTGCTGCATTCCAATGTGGGGTATCAGATTTGGTTGTAGGAGCAATCATGTTTTCAAGGGTCTTTCATACCCTGTGGCCTAATCTCTTGTAGAAAACTTTCTGTACTTTTTGAAAGCCTTACTTGTGAAGTTGGAAAGTTTCTCAACTTGCAACAGAGGGAAAAATTCTATAGTAGAAATTTAGATGTTGGGTCTAGATGCCGGAGTAGTAGGTTTAATACATATTTAAATATTTACTGTTAAATGGGCTATGCAGCATTTCTCTCTCTCCCTTAAGTCATAAAAACACAGTGCTCCAGATTTTCATAGGATTTAATGTAGGGTGTTCATTAAAATGCAAGAAAGGCAGGGAGAGCAATGGGGACGGTGAAATAATACCAACGTTATTAACACAGCAAGCAGCTGCTCTCTCTCAGGCTGCAAGAATGCAAAATTGGGGCAGTTGTGATCAGAGCTCCAAATCTCAGCCAGGGAGGTGGTAACTCCACCAAGGGAGCATCATGAGGAAGGGCTTGGATCCTCACGGACACTTCACACAGTAGGTATTGGACCAGTGAAGCTGCTGCACAGTTGGTCCGAGGACTCTTGGTGGAAAGAGGTCCAGAGACTTCGAAGGGACACCCAGAAATAGGACTAGAACCGAGGGAGAGCTCTGTCCTACATTTGCTGGAACCTCTGAAGGACCTTGAATCAATTGCTGCATCTGCTGTGGAGACAGCCGGATCCAGGTTGGAGACCATGAACTGTCTGAGATAAGGTCTCAGACGCCCCATAAATACCAATGCCTTCTGCAGCCAAACCTAATTAGAAGTCAGCAGTAGTTTGAAGCTTGCAGCTCCCTAGGAGACATACAAAGAGGGATGGGAAGGAAGACTAAGAAGAAATAAGAAAATTACCAGTGAAGAGTGAAGCTTGTGTAGAAGAAGACTGGATTTCCCTTAGTCTGTGGGAATCCCACTCTGAGGTGGACCCATAAGACCACACACCCAGCGACAGCAGTGCTAAGGTAAAAAGAAGCAGATGTGTTCACCAATTCTATGAACGCTTCTAATAGCTGAGCTATTTTTGTGCCTCTTTTTCCCAAAGAAAGATAAATGCCTGTTTGCATGAGCAACATCTCTCTCTGTCTTGGTCCCACTGACCCATTCACAAATGGGGTTATGGGTTCTCAACATCACTGCACTGAGCAGGGACCTCTCAAATGACTCTGTGGCTAACAATTGTCTGGTTAATGAAAAAAGCGGGGTACAATTCTTTTTTATGGGGATGATCAGATACATCTCATGATATCTGACTGGTCAAGAGTTGTAGGGTGCGTAAAAACATTCAGGGGAAACTGGAAATCAACTAAGTAAACCAAAGGGCATCTGCAAACAGACATGAAATAAAACTAAGAAAATGCTATTAAATTGAAATCCCATCACCCAGCTATTGACCATGTCAGAACCCATAGATTGAAATGAAAGGGGAAATCATGTATTTCTAATTATATCAAAGAAAGCCAAGAAGCTACTTGGTGGCTCTTTATTGTCTTTACTGGTTTGTTTGGGGTTTTTTCTTTTGAAGGTGAGAAGAGACTCATTTTCTTTTGATTTCACAATCTTACTAAGAATTTTCTTTTTTCCTGTACAAACTCACCCTACCTTCATTCCATCTTTTTTTTTTTCTTTTGAGACAGGTTCTTGCTATGTAGTCCAGCCTGCCCTTGAACTCATTTTGAAGTCCAGGCTGGCTTCAAACTCACAGCCATCCTTGTCTCAGCCTCCCCAATGCTGGGATTACAGGGCAGTGCCACCACACCTAGACTTCATTCCAGTACTTCAGGAGAGTAGTGGAATTCAGACAAAGTTAAAACTAACATTGCTCGGTATTTTTCTGGCATAACAACGTTTTGGATAAATCCTCAGCCCCCATTCATTAATTTCTGTAAAATGCTGTATTCAGTCATTTCAAACTGTAAACTATAATAAAGTCCCAAAGAGTTCACAAATCTGACACTCAGATCATTAGCCCTCTTAAGTGAACTGAAAATAATATTTGAAGGAACTTTGTTGTGAAAATGATATGGAACAGAAACATATGTAGCTTTGGGCTCGTGACTCTTTTCTGGCATTTTCAAGCACAGTAACTTGCTTTTATGGTCCTTTCATTTGTATCTGCAGGAAACATGTTATTACTGTGTTTTGAAGATCTCAGGGCTTAGCCCTCAAGAATTTGAAAGCTCTTGAATACCAGTAAATTTCTTTCACTTTTACATTCTTTGTAGCTATGCAGATGCACAGATGCAATGCGTGTGGACTTTATATGGACAAAAGTGCAGTAATTGCCTGTATTTATTCAAGTCATTTTTACTACTACATCGTCTCTTCCCATTCTGTTTGCGACATCATACCACCTTCCAGTTATTTCTTCATTCTCATTTAATTATATATAATATATACATATGAATGTCATTTTCATTAAGTTTTGATTATATTATACATATTTCATATCTTTTTACATGAGTATTTTATCTCAATCCTCAAAATCCCCAGCAAGGACATTACTGTCTTGAAATATGTTGCTATGTTTTATTTTACTGGATATCACCAGATTGGTCTCCAGGAGACTGTTATCAACTCAGGTTCGCCATCAACAAATGAACACAACATACTCTTCATCAATAGGTGCTAGACTTATTATTAATCTCTACTTTGTACATGGGGATAATATATCTTCTTGATATTTCAAATTGCATTTTAGTGACCACTAGTGAATTCTACTTTCATATTTCTTGCCATTGTGGTTTTATTTCTATAAATAGCCTAATGATGTACACCGCTCATTATTGCTACTGTGCTATGTTTTTATTCATAACATTTACATAATAAATTTTTATAACATTTTTAGATTATAGAGAGTAACAATTTTTTCTGCAATCTACATTACAATTAATATTTTCTTATTATATTAATTATAAGTTAATTGCAATGTAGATTATATATGTATATATGACATTTAAAATATGTATTTTACATTTGTGTATGTATGAGAATATTAATTTTATGAGTAAGTTTTATATCCTAAACATACTATTTGTTCAGCTCTTATTCTCTTTTTTAAGAGTTTATTACCTTCATATTATTATACAAGTTTTATTTTATGTCTTCCATGTAACCTAAGCTCATTGCTTTATTCCATTAGATACATTTTCCCCACACACTTGGATGTCATTCAGAGGCCCCGTGTGTGTTTATACACTGACAACAGTTTACATAATGATAGGAGTTATTGTTACCAACACACAGAAGCCCAGGAATAGAGTTACTTACAGGAGACCCACAACAGAAATAAATGAGCGAATCTGGGTTTGAACTCAGAGGTCTGGCTCCAGAGTTGATAGTTTTAACTGTTTCTTTCATCCTACTCAGAACAGAATGCAGCAGTGCATGCAAGACACTCTGCAGATGCACACACCAGGTCTCGAGGAGTTAAGCAAATTCCCAAGCATGACCTAGGTGAAGAGCCAAGCTGCCTTAGTCCTGGCCTCACTGATCATGATTGTTCAAGTCAATTACTCAATGCCAGATCCATTGTGTTCTGGATGATGATCTAATTTAGCTGAACACTCTCCTCTTAACCCTGGCTTCAGGATAAAGCAAGGAGTGTTGTTAGCTAAACATTCTAACATAGTAGTTAACCCTGAAGATAAAGATTTTAGATAATACACTCCTTGGTACCACCACAAATTAGGGGGTTTTGTTATTGTTTTTGCACTAAAAATGTTTCAGATAAGGCCCTTGAATAACTTATTTTAAAGTGGTGGCTTCTAAATGCTACTATTTCTAAAGAATGCTAACATAAGACAGTAGTTCTAGATTATCACGAAGTCATAACTTTTCATTAATTTACATTAGAGATCATTCACAAGCCTGTATCTGCTTATCAATAAATGGTCAATGAAGTAGCTGTCTTTCAGGTGGGATTTTAATCCCCAGAGGTGTTATATTATTAAAAGATATCATTGGTTACTGTGTGTGAAAAAATGGAATTTCAATAAATATTTATAATGTTAAGTGCTTTTTTAAAAAGGTGTCTTAGTGAAGCTTAAATTGTTATAGATGATTTCTGTGAATTGTTTGCATAATATCAGACTAATTTTCATATATAAAAAATTCTTCACAGATACAAAGTTTTTGTTATTCTTCATGGGATCCACACAACTAGTTTAAGGCAGTTCCCACCATATCTGTTATCCATAGCAGTTACATTTACTCTGTTTGTCTGTGTATATGACATAAAAATCTGGGAAGAATGTGTGGAGATTCCCAAATAATTCCAGATATAATTCCTAAATATATCTTCCTCAGAAGATATATGTTAGAGGCATAGTTAGACATTTACTATTAATGGTTTGAATAGATTTCAAATGATCTGGTATTCAGCACAAAGTCAAAATACTAAAGAAAATGTCCTTCTCCATTGTAAACCTAAAATTTGCTCACTTCCTCCATGTGGAGTGTTGAACTGAAGACTGTTTACACTAATATTTTCTCTTCCTTTTCTGGAGCAGTGAAGATAATGTTGATTGTGCTTGTGAGCCAGCGTTTCAGATAAAAGCAAGCACTTCTCATTCCAGAGCAAGAAAGAGGTCAGATCAGATGGCATTTTAATCACTGGCTGTGGGCCAGGATGTGCTGCTTTTTATAATAAAGGTAATAGTACTAATATATCAGCAAAAAATCTGGAAGAGGGAATTCTTCCCTCGGTAATGGTGATAGATTTGTACTTACTTCCTCGCACTGCCTTGCCAGGCCCTTCTGACCAGCAATGACCCATTTACCTGACACCTAGTGGGTCATGTGTGAATCAGAGCAGCACCCAGACCCCCACACGGGAAGTGCCATGCGCTATTAGCCAAGCCCTCCTGTGACAGTCGCATGCTATCTAATCAGACAACTGGACAGAAGGGAGCGTGTCAGCTTCACAAAGACTCAGAAAATTGGTGTCAGAAGTGGACTTTTATAAAGTGTATGTTTAAGATGAAATCGTCTAAATCACATTCTAAAAATGTGAAGTAGCTACACAGATACCAATATGTTAGGAATCATTCTGTGATTAACTAAATCCTCTTAAGTTATTGTATAGCAGGGAAATAAAAAGAAATCCTAAAACACCAATAACTAAAAGAACACTTTACAATTAACTAATACACTGGATACTTCTATTGCATGCCTTCAAATTCTGAGGAAGTGGTATAAGGAGGCATGACCTCCATGTTCTTTTTGTGTAAATGGACCTATCCACATGTGTTTAGAGACCACTCCAGACAAGGAAGACTAGCTGTAGGGAGATGAGAAGTATGCAACAAAAGAAGAATGTTTATAGAGTAATTCTGAGCTTATGAGTATAAATTTAAATTCAAGATTGGCTCCTTTCATTCTTTCATTCCTTTCCTTGATCTAAATATTTTAGCTTTATTTTTAAGAACAGTAACTATGGCTTCAACTAAATTTACTTTTTCCAGGTACTACCTAACTTATTTAATCCTCCTAACAGACCTGTAATTTCTACTACTATCATTTACCGATATGAAAGCTAAAGAATAAAGAAGCTAACTTGACCATGCTCGCCAAGCTAAAAGGAGTGATAAAAACTACAGTGAATATTTAAATTTATATGTATATACAATATATACATACATATATTACAGTAAAGTACACATTTCCAAAAATGATGGGATATGTTCAAAGCAAGGAATATTTTGAGGGGAATTAATGACACTGTGTCTTTTACTGTAACAGTTTCTTTTACTTAAACATTCACTATGTATTTTGATCACCCATATTGATTAAACATTTACAGCAATTTCTGTAAAGTAAAAATATTAGGGTGTGACTTCATGCACTTTATTCACTGGATTTGGCACCATGTGACTTCTGACTTTTCTACAAAGTCAAAACGACCCTGAAAGGTAAACATTTTGAATTTATTTAAAACATTGAGGTAGCCACAACAGCTCAAATAAAAACAAGACAGAGGGCTTCCAGAACTGCTTCCAAAGTGGCAAGAATAATAAGAGAGTTTGAAGTGAGGGGGAATATTTTGAGGAGGATTAATGGCAATATGTCTTTTACTATAAGAATTTTTAAAGTTAAATATTCACCATATATTTTGTTCACACCTCATTGTTAATTGGAGATTTAAGCCCAAGAAATATGTCTTTATAACCATTATATGTAGTTTATTGTAAAAAAAAAAAAGTGTGTTATACAATTTATTCTATGCCTAAAAGACAGCACTATGTTCTTTTATAAAGTTAGGTGTGTTTTACTGACTTTGCTATCTCTCGAGCTGGTTAGAAGGTTTTTCTTTGTGCTTTATTCACAAGTCCCTCTTACTGCCTATGCTACATTGTAGCCCTGGTGTATGCCCCCCACAAAGCAGATTTCTTTGATGGCAGACTGGAAAAAACTTCTTGCCTAGCACCACATCTAATGCAGAAAAAGTGGACAATATATATTTATGAAATCATTGAGTAGATTATTCACCTTAAACTTGGAATGGGACCAGAAAAAGGAATTAAGATGTATTGTGCACATATATAAATTTACCACAATAAATATAATCATTATGTATTGCAAACATGTACTAATAAAAACATTAATACAAAATCTTAAATGTTTACTTTAATGGAGCTATTCATGATTTCCAATTTAGATCTTAAATGGAGAACTTCAAGCTCTTTTTAAAAATGTTTTAATTACATATTCAATATCAGATAAATAAAACTATTATAAGCTCAGAATTCTGGGTAAACATCCTGGATGATTTCCATTACTTGACTTGGAATTCTAAAATCAAAGTTTCAATGTTAAAACTGAAACATGAATAAATAAGTAAGCATTTGGATATATGGTCACAGGAGGGAGAGTAGAAATATATAGACAAAATACAAACAATTTCCCACTTTAAAAACAATTTTCTAAGTAATTGTAGAATCAAATGCAAACAATAATAATGATATCACTAAGGGAAAAAACCTACAATGGGCAGCTGAAATTGTACAGAAAAGTATGTAGGGATTTAAAACTTGTATTATATATAGTAAGAAACTGAAAGAATTAACCATGTAATTCAAAAAGAAGTTATGGATTTTAGAGTTTTATATATCAAAGTATTGATGAAGTGATATTTAAAAAGTAGATAAAACATCACCACACACTCAAGAACAGAATAATTAAAATGCTAATTTTTAAAAAATATATAAAATGTATCTTAGTTCTTATTTTTCCCCCATTACCTATGCGCCCTTCACCCCCACCACCCTTCCCTATTTACATAGACTTTGTTTCCATTTTTTTTTCTTTCTCATAATTTTTCCTTTCCTTTCTTCCCTTTCCCTAAGATACATCATGTTCAGGTACAAACACTAATGATAAATGTAAATGTATTGTATACCTAAAATGTACCAATTAATATATAAATTTTTAAAAAGTATATAAAATGGACCAAAACCAGAAGTTGTTATATGACACAATAAGTAAGATAAATAAAAAAATACAACAATACAGAGAGAAAATGTTCACACTGTTATCAAGGTGAAAAGAACTATAGCTCGAGGAGTTAAAAATTAAGAGTGATTCCATACCAAAAATTTGAAATACTCAGTTCTAAAATTATCGTTTGGTAAAATATGAGTCAGCAACTTTTTCCAGTTACCTTTTGCTCTGTAAACATCTTTGGTAAAAAGAAGTATCTTAAAACAATTATTGATTACTGCATCAGTCAGTAATTTGGAACTGGGCACCGAGGGTTGTCTGATGGCTTCACCTGGCACAGCCATGTGACCGAGTCATCCTGAAGCTTGGCCTCATCAGAGGTGACTGAAAGGCTGAGATCCCCCTGACTGTGTGCTGTCATCACCCCATGTGCCCAGCTGAGCTTCCACAAATAGCCAGCTCTATATGCAAGTGTTTTCTGAGTACCTCCTTCTGTGGCATTTTCTGGCACCTCTTTGATGGAAGTGAGTCACATGGCCAAGGTCAGCATCAATATGGGAGTGGATGCAACATCACCTTCCTAAGGGAACAATGGCAGAATTCCTGACCATTTTTAATTGACTTGCAGATCATCCTCTGGCCACCCTTCACTCTTTATATATAAAAATTCACTCATCCCAGGACCGTCACTCAATTAAGAAACCAGACTTGGTTCAAAAGTTCAGGACCTTATCACTTAACCAGATGTGGACAGTTGTTGCTCTTCAGTGAATGCTTAGTTGGAGCACTTTGGGTAAAATTAATCAAGGGAAGATCTGGGAGCTGAAAAGACCGCCCACTCACAACCAACATACCCAACACGATGGTTTTACAGGGACACGAATAAGAGCAATAAATATTCTCTTCTGGTTCTGGTCCTGGAAGTGATTTCCTAATTAGTTCTCCTTGCAAGCCTGTCTGGGCTCTTCGTTGTTCTCTGAAACAATTTTTTTATCATAAAAAGTGGACAGATTTAATTCTGTTTCTTGAGTGGAAATATCTAGGCCATTTTTTGAAGCCGTTATTTTCATATTGTTTCAAAGTGGGTAAAGCTATACATGCAAAGAATTCTGGGGTCAGATGACAGATAATTTCCCCTGTCAGATCAGACTCTCCTGCCTAAGACCCAAAGCCTTTGCTCAGTTTGTAGTCCGTCTTTTTGGTTACACTCCTAGTTAAATTTCTGAGACACTATGACTATTAGGGGGCTGCTTCTATACTTAAAATGTCTCATTCATGACTTACTGTTTTTTTAATTTTTGAGATTAGCTTGTCTCTACTTTGGGTCACAAGTAAGGTAACTGCGGGATAATGCCTTTAAAATTATTCAAAAGATTATTCAATACTTGAAAGGATTAAGCACTTACTTAAATATTTTCAAATTTCTGATGAAAAATATCCCTCAGTTAAACCCTTGATTTTATTTTTGTATTTTTGACTTTGAGTACCTTTTGCCTTCTGGAGTGCTGGGGATGTGGAACTATTTTATATTTTAACTTCTTCAATTCTATTTGCAAACTAGATATTTTATTCTTTGGCTCATTTCTCTTTTGCAATACCCATAATGCTACTAAAAGAAACAAATTGGCGCTTTCAAAATTCTGCCAGAAAATCTTCTCAGTTAAATCCCTTGTATCCACTAGATGAATTTTCTAAGTCAGTAAAGGCAGCATTTTTATCAGTTCTTCCACAGCTACATCACATGGGTTGCCCTTTCTTGTGACATTAATAACAATTCTATCACCATTCTTTTAATTTCAAATAAAAAACCACATTGATCTACTATTCTCTACTCACTATCTAGTCTTCAGGTTAATGTATACATGTTAGGTTTTTGGTTTTATTTTATTAACTCCTTTTCTGTGCACATTTCTGTTTCTGTTTATTCCTATATACAAAACTATCCCAAAATGCAGTAGTTTAAAACAAAACAAAGTGAAACTGCCAATTATTGCTCATATTTTAGGAGAGTCAGCAGTTCTGGACTGGTTTCTCTTGGCTAAGCTTTGCTGGCCTTGCCTAGGGGTCAACCATAAGGCTACAGTTACTTGGTTCCTCTAGGACTCTAAAATGGCTTGACAGTCATAGCTGCAGGCTGCTTGAAAATACTGAAGTCTGTGGGTGTGTGCTCTTCCCTGCCCCTCTCACTGTCTCATGATACGACCTCAGCTTCCATTCCAAGGGACTCCAAGTGGTAAGCCCAATGTCTCAGTGTTTCTGATGTTGTTGAATGGCCAACTTAGAGTCAACATGGGTAGGGTATTAGACCCACATAGTAGACTACACACACACACACACACACACACACACACACACACACACACAAATACTGTGGCAGTTATTAATTTGTCCAAGTAACATTTTCTTGAAGATAGGATAAAATTATGCACTAACACATAAGAAAAAATAGATTTTATGAACCAAACTATCAAAGAGATGTGTGCACATGGTTTCATAAGAAATATATTCCCAGTATTCAAAGAAAGGATAAGACATGTGCTATTTCAAGTATTTAAAATCAAAATATTTTACTTCTGGAATAAAAAGAAAAGACAATCTTCAAATCATATAAAGCATTGCAATACTGATAATCAAATCTACCAAAATATCTTCATGCCAACATTATGTAGGAATATATGTTTTAAAATAAATTTTCTGTGAGGTAGGCAAAATCAGAGATCCTCAAAGACGTCCACACCCTTAACCCTGGAATTTGACAATGTGTTTCCTTAAATGGCAAAGGAACTTGCAGTTGTGATTAAAGATAAATTCCTAAACAAATATGTTCTACCAAAATTGAACCAAGTATAAAAACTTAGATCAAAAACAAGCAAAGAGATTGATACAATAATAAAAACTCTATCAGCTAAAGTAAATCCAGAGCATGAAGAATTTACTGTTGAAAATTATCAGACCTTTAGAGAAGAACTGACACCAATTCTCCTCAAACTTCTCCATGTAACAGGAAGAGAAAGAAGCTTCCAAATTCATTCCATAAAGCCAGAATTACTGTGATACCATAACGAGAAAAGGATGCACCAAAGAAAAACTTCAGACCAATATATGATGAACATAGAAGCAAAAATCCTCACTGACACCCTTGCAAAGAAAGCTCAACAACACATTAACAAGATAATTCAGCATGACCACTTTGGTTTCTTCCTGGGGATGCATGCATGGTTTAATATGCATAAGTTAATAAATGTAGTACACCACATAAATAGGCCATGGATAAAAGTCATATAATTATCTCAATACATGTGGAAATGGTTTTGACAAAATGCAACATCACTTCATGAAAAAACAGTTGAAAGAAGGTATAGAGGAAGCATTCCTTAAACAGAAAAGCGAAGTAGGACAAACCTACAAATCATACGAAATTAAGATGTATAATGTACTTCTATCAAGTCCCCACAATGAATGTTATCATTATATACTGAAAACATGTATGAAAAAAATTTTTTAAAGAGCTAGAAATAACCCTAAAATTCATACAATAGTCTGTGATTCTGTGATATTACAAGCAACATGGTACTGGCACAAAAACAGACTGGTAGACCAATGAAATAGAACAGAAGACAAAAAAATAGACACATATACCTACAACCATCTAAATTTTGATGCAGAGACAAAAGCATATGCTAAAGATGGCCTCTTTAACAAATGGTGCTGGGCAAACTATTCAGTTTCATGTTTAAATGTCCTTTGTTGTTTAAGTTACTCTTCACTTTTGTGCTCAAATTATTTATATCTCACTTGAATCTTTATTTTTGTCTATTTTCAAATTCGCATATTGCTTAATTATGCCATTTAATTTTATATTGTTTCCAAATAAATACATTTAGATCAGAAAGTTACTCCTTAGCGTGGTCAGCTGTGTCACAAATTTTGTCACAGTGTTTATCATTTAAATATACTTATAATTTTCATTATGATTTCTTTTTAAACATGTTTTATTTGAGTTTTATTTCTAAATATCTCATTAATTGTAACATTGAAGTAATTTGAAACTTAGCTAAATATGTTCTGAATATATTTATTACCAATTATTAAGCCCTTTTGAAGTTCTGAGGAGATGTATTAGCTTTTAGGTAAAATTGTTAATGTTCATGTCTCTCTGTAGTTATGCCAACTGGGAATTCATGTATTATAGACTTTATTAATATATCTTCTATTTGTTCTTTATGATAATGTTTTTATGTGAGTTTCATTTTTTTTTTTTTTGGTTTTGAAAACCAGTATTTCTAACCAAGTTTTAAATGGTTCAGATATGCCTGTTTGTTCACTAAAATAAAGAAGCACAACATTTGCCTAAGTATATTAAGAGGACAGTGAAAGTGTAACCCAAACACCTGTAAAGATGGAAAGAACTCCTTTTGCGCTCTCTCTCCCTCTCTGGCCTTTTCTCTCCACCTTTTTTAAACCCCTCAAGGGCAAATGGATCCCAAGAAGTATTACTATTATCTCTTCTCTTAGAAACAAAATCCTAAATAAATATTACCTTGTTGAATCTAGCAAGTAAAGAAAACTGTACACATTGTGATAAATTAAAGATCTTTCCCAGGGTCTTTGCCTGGCTAGAACAAAGTACCTCAGACAGTGTAATTTCTAAGTACAAGAAATCTACTGCTCACAGTTGTGGAAGCTCGGATTTCCAAGATCTGGTGCTGGCTGACGCTGTGCCTCCTGAGGAGCCTGTCACACAGCCAGGGCTTTCTTGTGTCTGCAGATAACAGAAGGGGTGAGCTAGCTCCCTGAGGTTTCTTTCCTAAGGTGCTAATCCCATTCAGAAAGGTGAAGCCTTTATGACTTAATCACCTCCACAAAGCCCCACCCTCTACTACTGCCACCCTGGAGATTGTTTCAAAGCATGAGTTTTGGGGGGACACACACACAGACCATAATAACCAGTAGACCACATGTGTATCAAAGAATGATTAAGTAATTATCTCAAATAATGCCAAATATATTGCCTATATTGCGATTCAAAACCTATTTAAAAATAGTAATGATTTGGAAGTAACCCCTTAGCAAAAAGAAACTTTAAAGTATTAAGATAAGATACCAAAAACCCTCAGAGAGCATTACACATAATGAGGACACTTTATACTCCTCAATATCATTATTTCTATAGTATCATAACTCATGGCCAATCCCTTAACCTCAATAAGGAAAGTAAATGAAAAGTGTAAGGCTAAAAAAAGGACTCTTTCTACATGATATGATCATCTAACTTGGCAAAGAGGTGTATTCTTTGTTTGGTGTGCGCGTGCGCGCGCGTGTGTGTGTGTGTGTGTGTGTAATAAAGGATGACATGAAAAATGTTGCTAGATATGATATATAATGATAGAACACAGTTATAATACCACATAATCAATCTAGAGGCTGTAGCTAATATATGCCGTAAATCCCTTCATATCAGGAAGATATACTGAAGTAACTTTGGTAGATTATTGGTAAAGGACACAAAAAGCAATGCAGAAAGGAGGAAGCCTGAAAACTTCTGAAATGAAGGATGCTCAAACTCAATATTTGTTATACAAATTCAAGTTAAAGAAATGATGAGTTTGTGTTTTATTCCAATTAGTTTGGAATAAAATAAGCTGGATAGTACAAAGAGTGAAAATGTAAAGATTTACAAAGGTTATGCTCTGATGTAATAGGCTGGGCACAGCACCTTTTGGATAGCAATGGGGAACAGCTGAGGTGGTAACATCTGCTCTCTCCCAATGACCTGGATTCTAGTATTATATCCCCGGGAAACTTTTACATGGGACCATGTGGGACATGTACAAGACTATGAACTGCAGGATTATTTGTGCCAGTGGGAAACTGGAATGCAGAAAGGGGGTCTCACGTAGAGCTGGTGGGGAAAGCATGCTAGATCCAACCAGGTTACATTAGATAATGACAAGAACCAACAAATTGGATATATATACATAAATAAAAGATGACCTTAAAATCATAGTATTTAATATAAGACAGTACAGGTAAAATAATATTTTACATTATGGAAGTATAAATATTGGATGTAAAATCCTTTGCATAAGAAATAGAAGGATGGCCTTGGTGACCCATTGGAAAAGGGATGAAAGGGAAATAGAAGAATAAACTGAAGTTAATTATTTAAGTAAACAAAATACAGTCCTTTATAAACCAGTACTCAGAAACAAAAATGAGCTGTGAACTATGATTAATGAAACCATCAACACTTAAGAGGAGGCAGAGGCAGGGAGATCACATGTTCATGCCCAGTCTGGGTAAATTAGCATATTAGTGGAACTCTGCCTCAAAATAAACATTTTTTAAAAATAAAAAATAAACAGAGACTGGGGATGTAGCATAATGTAGAGCCCCTGGTTCAATCCTCAGTGCCACCAAAATTTAAATCCCTAATCTCTCCATTCAGAATTGCTATTAAACTTTTCATAATAAAATTATCGCATTTTAAAACAGAGAAAAAATACCCACAGAAATGGCTACCATTAATGAAGTCAGCTGTCTTAACATTAAGAATTTGTTTATCAAAAGCAGTAATGAAAGTATGAATGTAATCTACAGATTTGAAGCAATTTGTGATCCAAATATCCAACTCTCAGAGAAGAATAGAAAATAAATTGCAGTATACCCACATCACTGAATGCTAAACAGCATTACTAATACATGAAACAATATGAATCAACCTGGCAGGCATAGTTCTAAGCTAAAGAAGTCATACAGAAATGATTAGATACTATGAATTTCCATTTAAATTAAGTAAACTTTAAACGAAGTTTACTATAAAGTTTACTATATATGTGTGTTATACAGTGTGTGTGTGTAGTAAACTTTTATAATCCAATTACATGGGTTCAGTGTCACTGTCAGGGTGTGAAAACAATCTTCAATGACAATTTTAGGGTTTTTTCCTATTTCTTTTATTCATGTCCATTTGTCCTTTACTCAAGTTGAAGAAACATTCATTAGGATCATAACTTTTTCTTTCCATACTGGGCTTACAACCCAGGGCCTTCATGCTAAACTACATCCCCCATCCTTTATTAATTTCTTATTTTAAGACAGGGTCACACTCAGTTGTCCAGGCTGGGCTCAGCATTGTGATCCTCCTGCCTCAGCCTTCCAGAGCGTAAGGATTGCAGATGTGCACCACCATGCCAAGCTAGGATCACACACGCCCCTTAAAGTTATTCAGTCTCTCATACAAATGAAGAGTTTTTAAAATCATGTATCTCTAATAATAATATTTGTATACTTTTACATGAATACGTCCAAACTACACCTCCTTAGTTTTCAGTTGTCATGGCTTCTTTTTCAATGCTTTTACTTTAAATCCACATGTGCCCATTAAAAGTGTGATGACTCTCCAATCTTATAGAAGGCAGCAATGTAATGAAGATGCACAAACAGTATTTTAATAAACATGGTGTGGCTGTTCCTACAGCTTAGACTTGATTCTTTTCGGTTTTGTTTGCTTTGTTCTAAATAACCTCTGTTTTCCCCTTAAACGGGACCGTCTGCAGTTACTGTAACTGCTGCATTGGTTGACACTGATCCTGCTCCTTTACATCGGTTTTCTCCCTATTGGTGCTCAAGAGCTGAGACACCAAGCTCCGCTTCTCTGTGCCTGGGGGGAGGAGCAAGGGACCGGGAAGGGCGAAGGAGACCAGAACCCAGTAGCACTGCCCAAGGGGGGAACCCAAAGCCACTCAGAGCCTGCAGCAAGCTCTGCCCAGAGCAGCCCCGCAGAAAAGTGAGATGCGTTAGCTGAGACACCCATAGTCTGCTTTCAAATGGTTTCTTTCTTTAAAGTAGTCTGTGGGGAAGCAGGAATGGGAAAGGGTTGATGGATGGGTCCGGATTTAGGAGTCCAAAGATCAGGCTGCTGTTGCACTGTAGGTGACTGCAGACGACTGAAGGTACAGGGTTGCCACGTATGGAAAGACGAGAAGAAAGGATTTTGAATGTCTTCACCTTAGAAAAATGGTAAACGTTAGAGGGAACAGACAGGTTTGGACCGATTCACTCATCTCGCATTATACATGCGTCTAAACATCACATGGTATAAACATGTATACTGTTTGTAGATTCACGTATTAGTTTATAATTTAAATTTTTAAAAAAGAAGAAAAATAGTTTTCAAGGTGAAGAGAGAATTTTTGCTTGTAATATTTCAATATTGTTTTCATTTTTTGATTTCAGTTTTGCTAAGGGTGAGAAACCCAGATTTTGGTAGTGGAGAAGCTAAGATAGAAATCATAAGGCCTGCAAAAGAAAAACATCTAATTAGGAAGAAAAATATAATCTCATATATATGGTTGTGTAGTATATTTATATATTTTTTCTCTTTTATTCTATTATATTGCTCCAGGTTTCTATCTGGAATCTTTTTACTTCATTTTAAAAGACTTAATAATGTGAATCTGTTGGTGAAGAATTCCGCCAGCCTTTCATTTTTAGAAACTTTAAATGTATTTCCTTTAGTTTTGTTTTTTGGTTTTTGTTTTTGTTTGTTTGTTCTTTTTTTGTTTTTTGAGACAGGCTCTGGTGATGTATTTCAGGCTGACCTTGAACTCACTACATACCCCAGGCCAGCCTCAAACTTGCAGCTCTGCTCCTGCTTCAGCCTCCAGAGTGTAGGATTACAGGTGTGTGCCACCACGCCAGACCAAAAATATTTCCTTTACTTTTTTACTTTCGGAAGACTTTTAGATTAGGTAAACTGCTTCTTTTTGTTCTATTTTTCTGCCAAATTTTATTTCTGGCATTCATCATTTTTTTGTTGTTTTTTTTTAAATATACTGTGTCTATGTTTTCTCTCTGCTTTCGATTGTTTCTCTTCTAACTTCCAGCATTATATCCCTAATGTACTAAAGTGGGATTTTTAATGTTTTTCTTTAATTTTCTGAATTTTCTGAATCACCAGAAATTATTTAACATCATTTCTTTAGTTTTTTCTGTAGTATTTATTTCTCAATTTGCATGGCCCCTTGTGACATTTATATGATAATTCTTGGTGTTATCTCCAATTCATCAGATAGTCTATTGAGTCATTTTGCTATTTTACCCCATATTTCACTTTAGTAATTTTTATTACCTCTGTGTTTTTTTCTTTTATGCTGTTCAATATGTTAAATCTTAAATCTCCATTTCTTATACTACATTTTCTCTGTGTCTTTAGTAGAAATGCCATTTATTTGTTAAAATCTTTTTTTATGCTTTTTAAATATACTTACAATAGTTACTTTTCTAATCATGAAAATTATACCTCATATTCTCAGACTATCCAAAATTGAATCACTAATGAGCTGCATGCAAAATAGTAAAAGGTAAATTTCAGTAATAGAAATGTATATATCCACAGTGAACAATATAGTAGCCAAAAATCACAAAACACTGCTAAAAATTTAAGCATGTCTAGTGTGTACTTGCAAGCCATTTATATTTTAATTTAAATTTAATGTAACTGGCTTCAAGTAACTAGTGGCTATCTTATTGGACCACACTAGTGGCTATCTTATTGGACTGCATAAAAGTATAGTAGGATATAGGATTTGTTTGTGTACTGATTTGTAAATTAATTATATTATTTACCAAAGGCGAGTACTGTCCACCTGTGTTCTAACTAGGCCTGCTCAAATTTCCATTTTGAGTTTGTCCATTTTAACTGTCCATTGGCCTAATTTCCCCACTTTTAGCATGCTAATTTCTCTGGAGCTTGAGTACTACATTGCCCACCAATTCAGTAAGCTGGAGCTTTTCCACTGTCATTTGTTCTTGTTAGATCATTTCACTGGGACCTTGTACTACTCTAGAAAGGTGCTTAGGCTTTGGCTGATATGCCTCTGTTAATTTACTCCCTGGACCATGCAGTTAACCTGTCCCCAAATCCTGGTCTTTTCTTCCTGAAGAAACTTCTCATATGTTCATTGTAATTAATGTAAATTTAATATAACTACCAACATGTCACACTCTTTAGA